TACATTACATAGAAAATTTTTTTTAAAAAAAAGCATACCCTTATCCCTAACCTAGCTATGCTTTTCCCTATCTTATGAACAGCAGCTACACTTTCCCTCCTCTTACTAAGCATGCAGCTTGAGAATGAATCTAAAATTCTCCAGGAGGTGGGAGGGTCTGCTAGGGAGGGTGTGCTGCTAATTGGCTGGAATGTGTCTGCTGACTGTGAGGTACAGGGTCAAAGTTTACTCAATGATGACGAATAGGGGGCGGGTCGAACCGCGCATATGTTCGCCCGACGTGGCGAACGCGAACATGCTATGTTCGCCAGGAACCGTTCGCCAGCGAACCGTTCGGTACATCACTATGTTTGGGTTTATGACTAGTTGCCAAAAATGTATATATTTTTGGTCTGGTGTATTGTAGATCACAGGGGGACTGCCCATGAGTGCTGTAGCTTCCTTATGTCACTTTGTATGCATTTTCAAATAAGCGCCCATTCACACTTTAAAAAAAATATATTATTACATTTCTCTAACTGCTTGTGTGCAAAAACCCTGGAGTACAAATAAAATTCTATACACACAGTAAACATTTTTAGAGCATTTAGAGTACTAATTTAAATCAATTCTTACAATGCAATGCACATTCACACAATCACTGTTCTTGCAGTTTCTTACAAAACTGTTGCAAAGTGCAAACAGTTAAGTATGAAATTAAATTACACTAGTAGAGAGATAGAAGTAAAGAAGTAGCAAATAAATCAATCACCAGAATAGAGAACAATGCAATTTAGGTCAGCTCCCCCGTCCGATGTCACTGGAGCCGAATGCGCATGCATAACAAGTGCCGCAAGCATTAAATGTGTCCATAGGAAAGCATTTCTTAGTGCTTTCCTATGGACATTCTGCGCGATGGAGGCGAAATTCGCCTCCAGTGTCGCAGATGTGCCTCTAGTGGCTATCCAGAAGACAGCCAGTAGAGGCTGGATTAACCCCAAATTGTAAACATAGTAGTTTCTCTGAAACTGCTGTGTTTGCATCTGAAGGGTTAAAATCTGAGGGACCTGGCACCCAGACCACTTCATTGAGCTGAAGTTGTCTGGGTGACTATAGTGTCCCTTTAACTAACTATACATTTAGCACTCGGCAACAGCACCTCCAGGTCTAGTACTGTTGCTGCTGCACTAGAAGAACTCAGTTTAAATGAACTCCATAACTTTAAGAAAAAAAGAAAACATCTGAATGGACCAAGAACTAGAATAGTAAATATCTGCTAGGCTAAGACAAGCATACAAAATAAAGCCCTTTGTTCAAACTCCCATTACATCTGGGTGGCAATAAAAAACAAAGAAAAAAGTTACTTGCGCACTATCCCAAATCCAGATGAAGATTTAAATAACTGAAGATTTTTAGTATCACTCCAATGGCCATTGAAGTGTAAGCTCACCTGCCATGTCAAGGCAACACCTCTTAGGTGAGTCTACTAGGCTAGCCTGACCTATCTAACGGTCATTTTGATTTATATGCTGTTTGCTCACCCTGCTTTTTGCAGCCCACATCACTGGCCAAGACCCTTATAGATCATGCCACAGGATGAAGCTGATTTGCCCCTTTGTGTTATGCATGAGCTGATTGTGTCATATGAATGAGAGACTAACGCATGATAGGAAATTGTTTGACGCATAACTAGTTAATTTGTTCATTATTCCATTGTGGCATTCGGAGATTTGGAATTTGGCCGAATGCCCAAATTAGATGATTTTTGTCCGAATTGCAACTCTTCCAAAAACAAATGCCCAAGTCTACTGGATAATGTATATTTTTGCAATATTTTTGATGCAATCAGCATTTTCTCCATGTCTTTTGCCCTCAAGTGACACTTTTAATTTGTGTTTTTAACAATTTTCTCTTCATCATGTCAACAGTAAACCCCTGCAGTCAGTCCGATTTAGGACCACTTTTCTACTAGCAGTCAGGGCCGTCTTTAACGCGGGGCAAACGGGGCAGCTTCCCCGGGCCCAGTTGCTCCTGGGGGCCCAGAGCAGCTGCTCTGTGGGCCCCGCGATTTGTGCAGCCCCTGTGGACCGGGCGGTGCGGCTCCCGCACACTGAGGAGGCTCCCCGGGTGGCCCATGCACTAAGGGCCACCCAGGGAGCATGTGTCAGCAGGGGCCCGGTCGGGCTCTGTGGCGCTTAAACAGCGCGACCGGGCCCCTCTTCCGGTTCTGCAGCCGGCTGGGAGGAAGTGACGTCACTTCCTCCCACCGGAGATAGCCACGCGGGAGGAGAGAGGAGGGGAGTTCCAGAGGAGAACTCCCATCTGCCTCAGCCTGCCACTGGACCAGGGAAACCACCCTCCAGGAAAAGGTAAGAACCTGGAGGGTGGCTAAATGTATGTCAGTAGGTCTGTGTGTGTGTGTATGTCTGTGTGTATGCCAGTATGTCTGTGTGTGTGTGTCAGTGTGTCTGTGTGTTTGTGTGTGTGTCAGTATGTCTGTGTGTATGCCAGTATGTCTGTGTGTGTGTGTGTCAGTATGTCTGTGTGTATGCCAGTATGTCTGTGTGTGTATGCCAGTATGTCTGTGTGTGTGTGTGTGTGTCAGTATGTCTGTGTGTATGCCAGTATGTCTGTGTGTGTATGTCAGTGTGTGTGTGTGGGTGTGTGTGTGTCAGTATGTCTGTTTGTATGCCAGTATGTCTGTGTGTGTATGTCAGTGTGTGTGTGTGTGTCAGTATGTCTGTGTGTATGCCAGTATGTCTGTGTGTGTGTATGTAGGTATGTCTCTGTGTGTGTGTGTGTACGTGTGTGTCAGTATGTCTGCCAGGATATATTTGTGTGTCAGTGTATGTGTGTGTCAGTATGTATCTGTGAATGTTTTAATGTCTGTCTGTGTGTATGTGCCAGTACGCCTGTCTGTGTGTATGTCAGTATGTCTGTGTGTGTGTGTCAGCATGTCTTTGTGTGTCAGTATGTCTGTGTGTGTATGTAAGTATGTCTGTGTGTGTATGTGTGTGTCAGTCAGTATGTCTGTCAGTGTATGTGTCTGTGTGTGTATGTATGTATGTCTGTGTGTGTGTGTGTGTGTGTCAGTATGTCTGCCAGGATATATTTGTATGTCAGTGTATGTGTGTGTCAGTATATATCTGTGAATGTTTTAATGTCTGTCTGTATCAGCCATTACGTCTGTCTGTGTATATGTCAGTATGCCTGTGTGTGTGTGTCAGTGTGTATGTCAGTATGCCTGTGTGTGTGTGTCAATGTGTCTGTCAGTGTATGTGTCTGTGTGTTTTAGTATATCTGTCAGTGTATGTGTTTGTGTGTGTGTCAGTATATCTGTTAATGTATGTGTCTCTGTATGTATGTATGTATGTCTGTGTGTGTGTCAGTATGTCTGCCAGTATATATTTGTGTGTAGTGACTGTGTGTGTCAGTATGTATCTGTGAATGTTTTAATGTCTGTCTGTTTGTGTATGTGCCAGTACGTCTGTCAGTGTGATTGCGGGTTGGACGTAATTGGGGGGTGAGGCAGTGGCAGGGACAGGGCCCATGGGGCCCAAGAAAATGCATTGCCCAGGGTCCTAATCATATTATAGACGGCCCTGCTAGCAGTCATGCTGTAAATGGACACTTTTGTTACGAGCATGTTTCCCTTTATCTCTCAGAATTCCATGTTCCTGTCCCTCTCTCTTTCATTATAATTCATCACTCCTTCCTGCATTAGATCTCCCTTAGAACAGCAGGGCTTTCATTAAAGGTTCATCAGTCTAGACTCTAGCATAATGATTCACTGAGTAAATGATACCTGGAACTTAAATGAACACTCTAAACTTGGCAGTGATGGAATATTTCAAATAAGAATATCAATATTTAAAAAAAAGAGGTAAATCTCCCAAATTTGCAATTTCAGGCATGCAGAAACCCCATCCCCAATAAATGAAATGGTCCATTAAACATTACTTAAAGTGGCTGTTATTTTGCAGGTTTTGTTTTCAAATTAATCCCTTTTCCCCCATCTCATTCTCTTTGTTTTGTTTTTTTGTTTCTTTTAGTAGTTAACTTATTTTTTTTTATTTTTATGTGAGAAAAGGTAGGCCCAGCTTTTACTTATGTGCATTGTTATCTTTGGAAATTTTTAGCAGTTCCTAAGCTAATTTTCTCACAATCCCTCAGTCAAAAGAATGCAGACAAAAATAAATCCACAAGATTTGCAAAAGAAATTATATTAGGACATCCAACTTTTAAGGAACCAGAATTCAAAAAAATTAATTTTCCATTGTACCCCTGTTTTACATAGGAGGCGGTTATGATCCCTTAAGCAACACTACTAGCATCACAAACACTACAATAAGCTATGGTGGTTATGGTGCCAGGAAAGCTTCGGTGCCTCCCCTCCTTTCCCCTCCCCCTCAGTCAAGTCATTTTCTAATAGTTACTGGGATTAACTCAGTGGTTCCCAAACTTGCTAGGTTCAAGGCGCCCCTAATAGTTCAATATTTTTTCAAGGCACCCCAAGTCAAAATGTATATCTGCACAGCGCTGTGGAATTTGTTGGCGCTATAGTGTAATGTACAGTTTTGGTGTTTGAAGGGGTGCTTGTATATAGTTTGTGTTTTAATACAGGGGTGTGTTTGTATGTAATGTTTGAGTTTGATTGCAGGGGTGTCTGAATATAATGTTAACTTTTTAATGCGGATGTACATTTGTGTGAAATATTTGTGTTTGAGTGAAGGGGTGTGTTTTTATATTTTTTTAGAGGGTGTGAATGCAGTGGTGTGTTTGTATGTAATATTTGTGTTAGATTACAGGAGTGTGTTTGTAGGTTGTGCTGGTTTTTGACTGCTTGGATGTATGCACACATACTACCACATACATACGTGCACATTAACACACAGATACATAGATACACACGGACAAACACGCACACACATAGATACACACCGACACATACACACACCTTTACACACTTATACACTGACATATACATACACATACCCTGACACACAGATGCACATACACAGATGTGTGCGCACACACACACACACTGACATATATACACACACACTCACACTCATACACACACAAATACACACTCACACACACATACATACACATACACTCATACACACACACACACTCACTCACTCACACAAGTGATATTTGTTTATATCTCCAGACACCCTCCTGTTAGCTTACCTTTTGTCCAGGAGGGTGGCTTGAGTACTGCTGGCTGTGGTTTGTGAGGGCTCTGGAGCAGCTCTGGACTGCTCCTCTCCCCTCATGCTGTGGCTGCCTCCTCTCCCTCCCACGCTGTCTCTCTGCATGACGCTGGGAGGAAGTGACAGGCTGTCACTTCTTTCCAGCCGGCCGACATTACAGGGACCCAGTTGCGGTCTTAAAGGACTGCGGCACCTGACCGGTCCGGCAAGACTGTGCGGCCCCTGCTCAGCAGTTATGTTTCCCGGTGTTATAATCATAGCACCAGGGAAACATTCCGCAGCACACAGTTTGGCAACCACTGGATTAGCTCATTGGTTAAAAGCAATCAGCTAATGCTGTAGCTCCCAGTTCTGACTTACGCTATGAGCAGACAGGTATCAGTGGCCGGGTACAGTTAGACTACTTACATTGGGAGGGCTCCAGAGGACTCCTGACACCATAACCATTACATTGCAGGGCTTTCCTCAGGAGAACATTTTAGCAGAAGAACTAATGCTTAAACAATTCAACACAGGGTTGAACACCATATGTGTAGTTTGAGAGAAACTGAAACAGTAATTACATAGAGCTCAGGATTTTCAAGAATACTACATCTAGATATAATATAACTGCATTATGGGATGCAAGCTGAATTTAAAAAGGATACTACATATTTGCACATAGAGGAAAATATTTCCATGAATCTGTGTGGCACTATTTGATTTCATGTTCTTTTAAAATATGGAGAAATAAGTATTATTTTATTCTGTTGTAAGGCAAAGATTTCCCTACTCTCCCAAAGTGAAGAGGTACCAAGTATGGAACCTTTAATAAGTCTATCATCCATCCCTTCAGGTCATGCACTCTAGACATTGTTGTGACATCTCTTGCTAAGGCTAAAGGAAAAAAAGATCTGTGTAAATCTAAAGTTGACAACTGTGATTTCTAAAGCTGAACTATAACCTTAGACAGTCAACTCCAACAATGTATCACATGGAAAACAGTTAGTGATGTGTCAGCCAAATGGTCTTAGAGCTCTGTACTCAACCACATGAACACACAGACCAGAGTGTGCAAGCACTGCTTTCAGGAATACACTAAGCACGCTGATTTATAATCTTTCAAATTGCAAAATAAATGTCCTGGATATAATTCAATATAGACATACAATAATTTACTGTACAGTTGCAAATTGAACTTCTAGTTAATTAAATCCTATTACATCACATTTTTACAGCAGGATCATCTTAAAATAGATTACAGAGTACAAATTGCAAGTTAGGGTCAGATAGACAAAGCAGCGTTTTTCTTGTGACTTTGCATGTAACGGCTGTAACAGAAATATTGTTTTATTATGTCTGTATTGTAACTTTACATATCTGATACAGAACCCATGGCATATATTGCCAATTAATTAAGTATACAAGACGCCCTTACTAAATTGTGTAAGCATTCATGCATGCAATTATTTTATGCAAATATCTTTAATAAATTAAGCTATTTTTCTTTGAATATAAATGATGATAAAACAGTCAATTTATGGTCTACCAATTTGTCTTTTTCTTCATGTGATTTCTAAGAGACATAAATTCAAAGCTTTTATTTTTCTCCAGAACTCAACACTAAAAAAGACTGAGGATAGCTGAACCTGCTTATTGGCTCATTTGTCTTAAAATATATTAGTTATATACATGAATATATATTTATGTTTATATTTGATTTTCTGAAAATATTAATAAATCTCTCAAAACAAATTTTAGAAACAAATACACTTTTATTATAACAAATTAAAGGGACACTGTAGCTATTTCATCTAATTGAATTGGTTATAGTTCGTGGAATCCCATGGCACTGTCCCTCCATTCCGTGTTAAACCATTTTTGAGCAGTTTAACACTAAATAAGGTTTCATTGCCCTGCACAGTCAAGCCCCCATTGGAGGCATGGCTAAGGCAAAAACTGCACTCTACCTTCTAAACATAGTTACATGGTTACATAGCTGAAAAGAGACTTGCGTTGATCAAGTTCAGCCTTTATCACAACAGTTTTTGCTGTTGATCCAAAAGAAGGCAAAAAACCCAATCTGAAGTGCTTCCAGTTTTGTAACACTCTAGGAAAAAAATCCTTCTTGACCCCCAAAATGACAGTCAGATATCTGCTTTGATCAAGACCCCACTAATTCCCAGATTTTACTATTAACATGACGTAAAGTCATGATTTTATTAAAGGCACAGAGGCGAGTATTATGCAGAACTCTTTCTTTAATTCCCTCAGCAGCAAAGATATAGAGAAATATAAATATATCAAATTGAGAAAAAAAACTGTATAGTAACACAAGCAACCAATCACATAACAGACAAAGTGACTATAAAAGGCTTGTGTCTCCCAAGATCCTCCTTTCTTGTGAAAACCAAAGACCAGTAACCACGAAATGAACTCAACACCGGAACCAACAGGAAACCAGATCGGATCGATAACTTCAAGCTAAAAGGGATAGAGAAAAAATTGTATTCCAAACTCCAAACTGGAATACTCACATAACAAATCTGCTAATAGCCAACCCAGGTATTCAAACCTATAAAACAGAATGCATAAATAATATATAAATATATCATGATAACCCATATAGATAGCTAAAACATATACAAGGAAACAAAATGCAAACGGAACACTTACCCTATCAGCCAAATGTCGTCGCATCAAACACCCTCATAACAGGAAGAGCATTTGGGAATAATACTCACCTCCGTGTCTTTAATAAAATCATGACTTTACATCATATTAATAGTAAAATCTCGGAATTTTATTAAAGACACCGAGGCTCCTTTTATGCATGTTTAAAGCTGAGCCACCACCTGAGATGCAATG